GCTAACTGGAGCACCATGAATTAGTAAAGGCCTCTGGATAAGCTTTAATGGCCCTCAGCCTAAGCCTGCAGAGAGGAGCAGGCCACGTCCAACTGCACCCTGCACATAGGCACAATGCTTCGGATCAGGAGAGCAGGAGAGAGCTGGAAGAAAGGAGAAGAGAGAGGGGAGGAGAGGAGGGCCAGGGGAAGAGTGTGTCATGAGGGGAGAATGAGGGAAGGTGAGGAAGAAGAGGAGGAGGAAGAAAGGGGGAGAGAATGAAAACAGTGGAGTACTGCAATATCAATGTGAAAAACATGTCTAAATAATGACCACTATAATAAACAAACCCTTAAAACTAGTTTTAGATTTTAATTTTGTGCACCATTTAAGAAGGGCAGCTGTGCTTTACATTGTGTGGACATTTCAGGATGAATGTACCAATATCACTGTAAAAAAAACTGTAAAATTACAGTAAATTACTGGCTTCTAGTTGCATTACTTTCACTGCAATTTTCTGTGCCATATTAACAGCAAATAACAGTAAATTAGTAATTGTATACTGTGACTTCACAGTCACCTGGACCACAGTATTACTGTAATGTAGCTGAATTCTGCTGTACACTTAAAGTAACAATCTGTAAGTAAAATATAGTTATCGTCTGTATTTTTACATAATGACTGTAAAAGTAATGCAGCTCAGTATTCATTAATTTACTGTCAATTTACTAGAAAATTTTAACTTTTAAATTTACATTTTTACCAGACCAATAACTATGTTAATTTTAAAAACAATATCAATGAATATATTTATTCCCCATTTTTTGCATCATATATGCACAGTATCACAAAGTATAAAAGTATAAAAGGCAAATACACATTTTACAGACATTTTAACTTGTACAAACATGACCAAAAACGTGGTTAATCTGGCAATGTCAAGAAACAATAACACTTTTTGTCCACAACCAACCAAACAAACAAACAAACAAATAAATAAATGGTGTTTTTAAAGGTCTTTGAAACACTCAAACCTGAGTTGTCAGAAAGAAAAGCACACCTTTGTAACTCCTAAGTTTCTGTCATATCCCATAATGTTAAGTGGTACAGCTCAACCTTAGCCTCACAGTAATTTGGTGTTATTACAGACAATATCTTATGATTATAAATGGTAAAATGATGAATACAGTATCTTACTGTAAAAATTAAGTGTGAAATATTTAGATCCTGACAATAATTAACAGTATAGAAATGGCAAAAGAAAATCACATTACATCAAGCACATTAAAAGTAAAGGGTTTTTTTGGTTGATGTAATGTGTTTTATTTATGTGGAATACATTTAAATAAGGTAAAAAACACATTTTTCAGTGAACACCAGTGACGATATAGACCTTGATGATGTCAGTAGTTGATTTATATCAGCACTAATAAGTACTAATATGAGCCAAGACTTTTCACTTTTAGACTCCTGCCTTCAGGGCACACCTGAATGTGATTCTGAAATTGAAAACAGTACTTTTGCCTCACTCAGTGAATCCTTATTTTGCTAACTCATCCTCAATAATAGAATTATACTCCAGCCTAATTACAACAAGCACGCCCTGTTTGCACTCGTGCGTTATTGTGAATCCTTGCCCTTTGCATTGTTTATAGCTCACCATGTTGGTTCGAGGGCTGCAATTAGCATAATGAATGTAATTATACAACCTAGAAAAATGCTGACCTCACATACTTTAATGTAAAGATGTTATATAGATATAAAGATAAAAATCAAATGTATAGAGTTTTCCTCATTACCCAGAATGTGGTCAGTCAGCTAAGATAGCCAAAGTTAGCTTTTTTAGGCTAACATAGCTAACAGGTAATGGAAGCTCATGCCTCACCAATTAGCATCGTCCAAACAGTCTCTGAAGTCATATAGACAAGTCTATTTATAAACACAGTCTGAGGCAAGTGTATGATGATTTAGCCATGCAGTTTGCATAGTGCTAATTTGACATGGTGCTAATTTGTTAGCTCCTTTAGCTTGATAGCTCCAGTGCAAAACTAAAGAAGCAAACTTTGGACATCAACCATGTCTTGACTGATTGACTACAAAATCCGATTTTCAACTGAACTACCACTTGTGTGAATCTGGGCTCCAGCAGGTCTGACTCCTCTGATCTGCTTTAAACCCACCTCTCAGCTCTGTCTCAGTGCTACTACGGCGCCACGGCTGTATACTTCATGCGCGGCTTTGCCAGCAAAGCTCTACCTGGGCCCTCTCTTCATCCATTATTCATTGGGGTAATGAAACACTCTGACGAGGCGCACTTCTTCTAATCTCTGCCATTTTATGCTCCGTCATGGAGAGCCGTGCTGGTTTTGGGGCATGTGTTTTAGGTTAAAGCCGTTGGAAGTGATTTTGTGAGGCATGCTGCAGGAAGGAGAGAGACTTAAAACAGCCATCCATAGAAACAGGGGACTTAAGGCCATTTCAGTTTGTGTAATGTCATGAGTGTGCTCTTTGTATGTGTGTCTGCGTAAGTGAGAGTGAATGATGTGGCTCACATGTATCTCATTTAAAGCAGTGGTTAGAGGGAAAGTCCCAGAAACATGGACGCGATCAGATGTACAAGGAAGCCAAGAAAGCATATACTTTACAATAGTCATCTCAAACAGATAAAGTAATAGACGAGCATGATGCATAAAAGCATCTAAAAAAGCTCAGTTAAAATGATGCCTTTCAGATTGCTGAGTATATTGGTAATTCTGTTAAAGTAATTTCTGACAAATGGTCAAGTGGAGCAGATAATGTGAAAAAAAAGAACTCAAAAATGAAAATAAGCTAACATATGCCCCCTAGTTAATCAGGCAGAATCAAAACAATGGTGATGGGGTATCAGACATTTGATGCACTTAGAGTCTCTTAAAGCAATCTCGCAGAAATGTTTTATTGTGACATGGTTATGAATAAGTTGCCTGAAGCCTGACACATTGTTCTATGACAGTTTTGAGGTGAGGTTTCGCCTAAAACGTATTTTTGAAATTCATGGCGGAGAGGTACATGCTGGGTGCTCCATGACAACTTAGTCCCCAAAGACAACTTCCTTTTTTTTCAGATTTACCGCCATTTTACTATTATCAACATATCAGAAGAAACAAGCAGGTTCACTGGTTATTTTGGATAGTAAATAATATGTAAAATAATATAGAAATTTGCGCAGGCATTGTGACCTCTGGTTCCTATTACTTCCACTGTAAAGAAATCTCAATCAGTAAGTTTCACTACTGTGAACCACTTCACATCAACCCACTCTGAATGACTTTGTTTATATCTCAACCATTGAAATTTTGAAAAGTCTGTGGGATTCCTCTTTTTTCAAGCATTGGTATTATACAGTATTTGAGTGTCCTTGTCAAAACAAACAGCTTGGCTTACATTATGATTATAAACACACGCACGCACACACATGCACACATACTTATGCATGGAGAAAGAAACTCTTCAAACAATTGAGTCACTGCAAACATGCTGTGTGCAAAAAAGTACTTATGTATTCTCTTTCTCCTGCCTCCACTCACAAAAGGCCTTTACCATGCAGTTTAAGTGATAAAGCAGGCAGAACAAGTGGCTTATAATTGATAGGCAAGAAAGTTATATGTGGTGGGTAAACTGAAATAAAGTGTCACTAGCAAGAGTGTTATTTCCATCCTTGTACTGCTGCCAGTGTCTATTATATACTTGCAGCCAGGCAAGAACTTAAAGCCAACAAGAATGGGAAATCAAAACATATTTTCCTTCTGTACCATGATGTGCAGTCGGATGCAAACGTCTGAGATCACTGGTGAAAATGCTTCTATTTTGCATTCCTTTCACATTTAATAAAATGTTTTTCATTACAAATTATATTGATTGTTGACATAATTTGAGTGAAGAATTGAATATTTAAATGTTTACCTGGATTTCAAAATGTCTTTGAAAATGTCCCCCTTTTGCGTTAATGACAGAGTGCACTCAAGCTGGCATGGACTCCTGAAGTTCGCAAAAGCTTCTGATCAGTAGATCAAATCCATCTGAGAGCCAACTGAACACACGTTTCAATGGAAAGAAAAAGACTAAAAAAAACTTTTGTACAAAGGCGTTAACATGGTCAATTTCACAAATTTGTTTCAATTTGAAGAGTGACCTACAAATAGCATAGAATTTCGAATATTTCTTCTACATTTTAATTGTCATAACCTGTCTTTGTTTTAATTTTTTAAGCTTCTAAAACTTTCTGTTGTCTATTTCAAGGTTTAAATACATAAACACCAGATTTTCAATGTGGTTTCAGACTTTTGGACCAAATTTCCAAAATTATTAGGGAGGGTCACTGTTTTCTCGATGATAATTGGGGGCGGTGAGAGGGGCGGGTGAAATGTGATTTTATTGGTTACTATTTTTGGTCTCACTTTAGTTGGATAGCCTCCGGTGGAGTATCTGTAATCTATGTTTTGATTACCTATGTGTTAAAAGACAGTGTTAGGGTTATGTTTAGAATTAGTACCAGGGTTAGGCTTAGGACCAGAGAGTAAAGGTTAGGTTTAGATTTTAGGGTGAGGTTAGGGTTAGGGTTAGAGTTAGATCGGGGTTTAGGTTTAAGGTTAAATTATAGGTAAATTTAATAGATAATTAGTAGAATGTAGGTCAAATGCAAGATAAGCATCTCCAAAGCATTTACAGTGGGCTATCCAAATAAAATATACCAAATATATCAAAATATACCAAAATATAATACCATATTTTTCCTCTCCATACTGCTGCACAGTAATGTATTTAAAAGATGTTTTTAACACTGCCATGTCTCTACACTTTGATCAAAGATTACAAGAAAACAAGAATTTAGTCTTTCTAATTATAGAGTATGTTTAATTATTCTTAATATTACCAGGGCCAAGATAAAAAGAAGTCAGTTCTGATTTCATGTTGACTTTCAGTGCAGCACAAACAGACACTGGAGTTTAATCTTTCCCCCTCTCTCTCTCGCTCTCTCTTAGTGATGGATGGGCAGATCGTGATGAGGTGGTGGAGGGATATGAGCAGGAAGCAGATGGAGGGATCACTATGAAGCTGCAGACAGAGGAAGTGAAGTCATTTAATGAATATTTTCTAAAGCTGCGCTTGGACACCAACACCAGGAACCCATGGTTCTCCGAGTTCTGGCAGTACCGCTTCCAGTGCCGAATACCGGGACACCCTCAGGAGAACCCGAACTACCAAAAAATCTGCACAGGTAAACAAACAAAGCAAAGTGCACAACACAGTGACTAAATATGAATAATTATGTTGCTCTCATACCTGCAATGATACACACTGAAGATTTTTAATTCTCTATCACCAGTCTTACCAGTCTTTCATTCATTTGGTGAATTTTTTAATTAAGAGCTTATGACCACCAATTAGCCAACCGACATGCTAACTGCATGCATAATCATCACACACTTGCATGAAAGGATGTCGATTTGATCTCAGAATACTGGCCAAAGTGGTTTCTGATGCTGTATGACATCCTCTTATGATATGGTGTGTGTATATTAATTGGTGGAGTAAAAGGTTTCTTGGCAAAAATATAGATTTTTTTTTACTAATTATCACTTTAAACATTCAAATACATGTAAGACTCCCATTAAGATAGCAGTATTGTGCGTGGATGTGAATGACTTTAATAAATAGGCTCGAACTAGCTGGCTAACATGTTCAAATAGAAAAGGACAGTCAAACTGGATTCTCAAACTCTAGTGCTGCAGGGCCTTAGCACTGTACTGTTTGGTGTTTTCCTTGGGGAAACACTGAAAACATCAACTGTTTTAGGGGGTTTCACACCAAATTCACACTAGATATGACAATAGTGCCACAAAAAAGTAGCATATGTAAAGCTCAAGTGTAATCCAGACTGCCTTCAACTCATTTCCATTGCGTAAGCATTTTAGGTGCTTTTCTTTTCTACTTTCTAATTTAAATAGTTTTATAGCAATTTTAAACCTTGAGCCGTTCATATCAATAGCCTCCACACACCGTTAGTACAGCACAGGAGCTGCTTGGAAGGTATTAGGTTGACAAGATCATCACATCTTAGTAAATTAATATTTAAAATAAAGCTGGTTTGATTTGACTGTATCTCTATATGGGCTTGCGTTTGACATGCGTTTAGCGCAGCTGGTGTGCATAAAAAGACTGATTACGATCGAAGTGTATCGATCTGGTTGTCACTGTAATGTGTAAAAGCAGAAAGTTAATATACTACTATTACCACGCAAACAAGGAGCTGATAGCACAAAACAGCTATGCTAAAAAAGCTGCTTTTTGTGTGTCACATAGGTGTCAACTCATATTGTTTACCCATATAAAATATGTTTTTTTCACAGTTTTTGAGGTATGTGGTCATATAAGGCTGGGATAGGTGAAATTTGCTGTAATACAATTTTCCACCATTTAACTTTGGACAATTATTTTTAGTAATTCTGTCGTGTCCAAATCAGGGGTTCTGAAACTTTTTCATGTAAGGACCCACAGAGGTAGTGTTTGTCCTAAGACCCTCCAAATATTTGATGAGGTGATATAGCACATAAACATAATTTTTTTTTTCTTAATATACTGTTCTTTAAATCAACAAACACAACAGCATACCATGATAAATTAATAAAAAATGCCTTGATTCAGCTATCTTACGACATTGCCACATTGCAGCCCACCAGTGGGTCTTAACCTACAGTTTGAAATCTGGTGATGAGCTCAGGCTCTGGCTGGAAATTTTGTCATTCTGTACACAGACAAAGCAAAAAGATATTGACACATGTGAGTAATGATCCAAGACATCAGAGCATCAGTCGTGTCATGCCGTAATAATCAGAGCGTCATTAGAGGTGTCAGAGTGTCCCATACTTAAACACACCTCAGTGATCAAGACACAAAGAAGCATTAGCAAAGACATGTTTGTTCCTGCATTTCACCTTGCAGATTATACTACAATTCAGAGAATATTTGCTCTGTTAGCACATCATAGAACACGACTCTCATTCTCAGACTGCAAACACTGTGATTGTTATTTAACTGTACTTAAGAAACTGTTTAGCTATTACTTTCTAGTAAAGTAAAAATAACATTTCGGATTCTGTATGAAGTATAAATATATAACAGTTAAGAAATCTAAACTGGACTTTTTGCTTTTGCTGCCAAAAATTAATGTTTAATGCTATAAAAGGTACAAATATGCACCTTACAGTGCATGAGACAGTGAATGTAATGTACCTTTTAAATGCATGTAAGATACACAGCTGGACCTTACGTTCATTGTTAGATACATTCTTTCTGACAGTGTACTATATGTGTATCAGTGAATATATACAGTTTGGAAGCTGTCAATATAAGGATTTCTGTTTCTAGAGGTCGACACCTATGATGTCATGATTTTAATCCATGTAGGATTGCAGCCACTAACCTCCCCCTCCATTACAAATGTCACTAAAGGCCTTGCACACAACCTACACACTTGAAAAAGATGCTTCTTCAAGAGTTCTTTATGAAAAGAAAATGGTTCTATATAGAACCATGAACACTAAAAGAACCCTTTGCATGATTAAAGGGTTCTTTGCATCGTGAAATTGTTCTTCAGATTGATGGAGAATGTGCTATAGATGGTTCTATATAGATCCTTTTTAAAAAGGGTTCTATATAGCACCAAAAAGTGTTCTTCTATTGTTACGATGTCAAGATTGTAACAACAGAAGAACGCTTTCTTTAGAGAACGCTTTTCAAAAAGGTTTTATATAGAACTGTCTACAGCACATTCTATAAAACTTAACTCAGGTGGCTGACATTTTAGATTTACTCAAAATACCAGGTCTCGCTTTCGAATATCAGGAGTTTCAAATTCAAAGCACATTCAAAAAGCTTGACCAAGGTAATGGGATAATGTAACATTTGCTAAGCAGTAATTGGAGGAGAAAATAAAGGAAAGATGTGGAGAATGCCTGTTACACAATTACAAATTATTTAGTTTTTTTTCCGCTGTGCAGCTAGTAATTTTTCCGCTGCAAGTTCCCCCTAGTGGCTCTGGCCCTTAACCAATTTCAAGATCTGGGCCTGATTACACCCCTAAACTAAACTATGCAGTGCTGGGGTCCTCAAGTACTGGAGTGTGAGAACACTTAGGTAATCCTAATGTCACATGCATGATGGCTATTTAGAGATTATTGTATGTGGTAACTGTGTATGTATTTTCCCCCCATTTCTTCACGAAATGACCGTGTCTCGGCTGGTTCAAAAGGTGACATAGGTAAATTAAGCTGTGTCCCTTACCTCTCCCCATTCCCCATGCTTTCCTACTCCTGTCCTCATCGACTGCTGTCTCTGCGCACAAGCATGACATTTCCTATCATTCACAATGATTTGGGATAGTGCCTGAAAAGCATTGAATGTTGCTCCTGTTATAGTCAAAGGCAGATTTTACTGTTTGTCATGCTTTGTGCTTGGATAGAAGTAAACAGATTTCTAAATGCATACAGTGGCACAGAGTTGTATAGTGAAACTACTGCAGATTAGATACAGTGTAATCAAACAGCCACACTGCTAAATGCTCTACGTCTTCTATTGTTATTGTTCTCTCCCTCTGAAAGATGTGGCTGGTGGTAAGTTTGGAGAATGTTTTGGTGATGCTGTGATCCATGCACTTATAACAGCACTGAGGAAGCACCTCACTATGGCAAGAGCTGGTGCGAGGAGTTGGATTGCTGTTGAATATTTGGCTCTTTTTGGTTGGCAGAGCTGTTTTCAGCTGTGACGGACAGTAGAACATGCGACTTGTGTTGTTAACTTTGTGAGAAAGCAGTAGGAGTGACAAAGAATTGATACAAATGCAAATGAATTTATTAAGGCTGAAGCCTGATAATTGAACAATGCAGTCCAAAATCTAACAGTCGGTGTTGACTGAGGAGCTTTTACTGATTATATTAGCACTTTGTCATCTACATTGCTCATACACTGCAATTTATGTTCACACATTGCCTTGCTTGTTCGCTTGGAAAGGCATCAGCCTAGCATTGATCATAAAACTCCTTTCTTTTGGCAAGCGGCATCTGTAACAGACTCCTATTTAGCTTAAAAGACAAGCAAAGTCATTCAGTAATGGGCACAGCAGAGGCCTGCCAATGGAAGATATCAGTCCAACTCCTCTGTACTGCTTGCGGATTGGACTCTTGCACTGAAAGCACAAGAGAAGCCTGGTGCACATGGAGAAAAAAAGCCCCTCTCACAGCGTGTGTGTGTGTGTGCGAATGTGTGAAGATGACCACGGTGCTCACAGCGTGCGTGGAGGTCCCCCTCACAGCTGCCAGTCTGCATGTGCGTGATTGTTCAGTTAGTGTGTGTGTATGTGTGTTATGACTGATTTCTTCACCGAAGGAACTCAAGGGCAGAACACTTCACTATTCAGCTGTTTTTTCACTTCTTTCAGTAAATGAAATAAACAAATGCAGCATTGTAGGAGCACTTTTAGCCTTGTTCCATTAAGAATTTATATGCTAGCATCTTATGTGAGGAGCTGTTATTCATTCAAGAAGTCTATAGCTTTGGATGGCTGTGAGGCCCACAAGCAATGCTGTATGGCTTTTTGCAGGCTGGCTGTCAACTGCTTATATCTAATGTCCATTATAAGTGTCCAGTGGCTGGTTGCTGCTTAAATTTTCTCAGGCTTTTAGGATACACTGTCCATTTACACATGATTCCAGAGCGAATAACTCCGAATAAGCGAATAACCAGTACTGTGAAAAAGTCAGACGCCACTTTTTTGTGAATTTGATATATAGTCAAAATGGCTATTATAAGTTATTCCAATTTTAAAGAAGACCTATAAGGAGATCTTCCCTTTCCTTTAGTGTGTTATATAGCTTTTTGTGCGTGTAAACGGTTTGCAAAGTGACAAAGCTCAAAGTACACGCCAGAGGGAGTAACTCTCTCACACAGAAACCACTTTCCTTAGCTGCCCGAAACATCTTGTTGGAATTCCAGCTCTTTTCCTTTGTTACAAGATGACGCAACCTCGCAACACAATCCTTAATTCCTACCTAGCGGCAACATGGCATAACCTAATACAACACACAGCAACTACTAGATGCTGGGAAGAGTTTGTTCAGTTTTGTAGCCATGTCGAGAAGAAGCTGACCTGACTTTCAGGATTGGGCTCTGGCTGAAACTGATATGGCATAACTGACGCTGTTGGAAAAATAGCCAACCGGTGTCTACAGCTGCTCAGGAGAGAAGGGTCTGTCCTGCATGACAGAGGTGGAACATGTAGAGGAGGAACTGCTCTTGCGGTTGACCAATCAGAGGAGGGTTTGGGGGGGACACAGGAGCTCTAACAGAGCAAAACTGAAAGCAAGTCTCCTAAAAAGAATGCAAACTGTAATAAAGGCAATGTGGGGACAGAGTAAATACTAAAACAATGATATTATATTTAGTTGTTGAAGCCTCTGTGTCATTTTCTGTTTTATATATATATATGTTTTCTGCTTTTTCCTAAAGCTGAAAAATGAAGAACATACTACTTAACAGCCAAATTGACTGAAAATAAATAAAAAGAAATGAGGGTCACTGACTTTTTCACAGTACTGAATGTCACACTTTGTACCTTACACTATGGAAAATGTAATTATTATTGAGATCTTGCAGTTAAACCAACCAAAGCCACTGGACACTATTAATTTCATGTGTGCAAATGTTTTAGCATACTAAGGAAAAAGTGTAAGCAGTGATCAGCAGGTCAGTTTTTTATTTACAGCCATTTGGAGTAGTCCAGTTTTTGCAGCTAAGATAAAAAAACATACAAATCTAAAATTGAATTTTAAAAATGAAATGAAAAAATAAATATAATAACACAAAATTAAAAAACAAAAGGATACACAGGCATGTTGTCTAATAACAAACCATGTTTTGAGCCTCACTGATTAAGACTGCTTTCCCAATAGGAAATGAAAGCTTGAAGGATAACTATGTCCAGGATAGTAAAATGGGCTTTGTGATCAATGCCATCTACGCCATGGCTCATGGCCTCCATGACATGCACCGGGATATGTGTCCAAACCATGAGGGCCTGTGTGAGGCCATGGACCCTATTGACGGCAGCAAGCTCCTGGACTATCTGCTCAAGACCTCCTTCACTGGTGTCTCTGGAGAGGAGGTGTACTTCGATGAGAATGGAGACTCTCCTGGCAGGTGAGAACAGAGACTAAGTGAGGTTTGTACAACAATAGCAGGGGTAAAGCATGTATACAGCAATGCCCTATGGATGGGGGACACAGTCATCTTAGATGAGACCACTCCCATTAGGACAGAAATGTTTCATAGGATAAAGCTGAACAGAAAAATTTGCACTGATTTGCAACAAGCGCATTCAGATGGACCCAAACCATGCAGCAAAATGCTCCCCCTCCCAGCATAATAGAGACACAGGACCACCACACTGTAAGGGGCAAGCATTAAATGGGCGAGTGCATTTGTAGCGTACTTGTACTGTTCTCGTGTACACCACAAATGCACTGACCCACTTGTCAAGAATATGGTGAAGCCTGGTCATATCACTTTTTTCATATTGCACTAATGCATGAGCATCACAGTCTTTGAATGAGTGCTTTCAAACACAATTTCCAGCCCTCTTTACTGCTTTCTTTTCCACAGATATAAGCACAGTCACTTCTTGCTGAAACTCTAGCCAGCTGAGCCAGTCTTTGTGACTGAAGCTCTCTCCATGCCTCATCAATGAACCCTTTTTCAAAGTCACTTACGTCTTTTGTACTTGTCATCTTGATTTAAAATCGACAACTACTGGGCCTGCCCAGTGGTTTTATGCCACAGAGCATAGTAGGATGGTAATTGCTTAATTGTATCATGCAGTACATACACTTAGGTATTTCTCTACTCATTTATTCAGGTTTTTCCTTTAATTTGTCACTGGTGTGTATGTCTGCTACGAAAACAGCTACCATCAACTTAAAAGAGTATACAACACATGGTAGGCCTATACACATCACACTTAGGATAGCTGATTTTGAATCAACATTACCTCACACACAAACAGGTGCATAACCGAGTGTAATGGGTTTGGAGTGGAACAGATTGCTTGTCTGAGGGTGCAGCTCCAGCCGTTTCCATTGCTAGACACGGTCAACTCCTGTCAGTGTGACTTCACACTCATGGAAGATGACAAGTTGGAGCTACACTACTGCCACCTTCGCTATTGCTATAATGCGTATGGATGTATACATGTGTGTGTGTATGTGTAAACACCTGCCCCTGGGGTCCGTCTTGCTTGCTTTCTTTAAAAGGGTATGAGCATTATGGGTGAGGGCACTAACAGCTCTTGTAGGTCGCAGGTTCAAGTCCCAGACGGCCAATGCAGAGTGAGGACACTTTGTCTGAACTCGAGGTGTTGAGTGAACATGGAGCATGTGAACCTGGCCACTTGCAAGCCCTAGAGCGTTGACAACACTTGGCCTTAGTGTGGCTGTCTTTCTCTCTCCTGGACTAACCGTCTCTCTCAATCATTTCCTCTCTCTCTTTCTCCTTCAGGTATGACATTATGAATCTGCAGTATGTGGAGGAGCTGGGTCGCTATGACTACATCAATGTGGGCTCATGGCATGAGGGTCTCCTGAGCATTGATGATTACAAGCTCATGACCAATCGCAGTGAGATGGTGCGCTCCGTCTGTAGTGAGCCCTGCTCCAAGGGCCAGATCAAGGTACCTTTTGTGTGTGCTCTGTTTTGATCGCTTTGTACAGACATTTCATCTCCACTTTGTCAGGAAAGCATGGAAATTCTGACGCTATGGGGCATTTTACTGGTCCTCATAGCTTTTATTTGAAAAATATCCTTTGAGAAATATTGCAAAGATTAGCATTAGATGTTGGCACAGCAGTATTCAAAGTGATAGTTTGGAAAAAAATTTAATTTACACATTTACACAATCCCACCACCACCACCACCACAAATGTAGTCAATCCACCAAGACATGTTTGGTGTCTCTGGTTTATTTTTTAGTTTTGCACAGGAGCTGAGACCAATGTAACAAACATGTAATGGAAACTCTCAGCCATCAAGCATACATTGTGTAAACCACATGTCTAAATCATCACACATTTCCCTTAAATTGCATCAAGTTATTAGGTAATCTCAACAGGACAAATCTAAAATGTGTGTGCTAGTTGGGTGTATATGGATTAGGTCTAGTTGTGGGCAATGTCATTGGTGTTTCACTATCAAAAACTCATTTATTCTAGGCATGGCCTAATCTGGGGCTGGGAGACCAGCCCAAAATGTACTATGTTATCTATAAAAATGGTTACCAAACATGCCTATGCTGACCAACTGTATGTGATTTTTCCCTCACTTTTTTTGAAACTATTGCTTTACAGTAATATATGTTAGAAATAAAGATATGAGTACATAGAAAGAAAGAGATATTACACCTCTGTCAGGCAAAGGCATTAAATATATTTCAACCTCAAGTGAAACAAGATAGAACTGACCAGTTGACCCATTTAACCCATGATCCCTCTGTAAGAGAGGCTTGTTTTTATTGTGTTAGCTTTTCACTGGCTTATGAGTGTTTTAAAAGGCCATGACCTCTGACTCCCGGCTGTAGGTGATCCGGAAAGGGGAGGTGAGCTGCTGCTGGATCTGCACTACCTGTAAAGATAATGAGTATGTGCAGGATGAGTTCACCTGCAAGGCCTGTGATCTGGGTTGGTGGCCCGATAATGACCTAGCAGGTAAGAGACTGGATCATTTCATCTGTCTTTGTCCATGTTTTTATTAAGTGACTATGCAGATGTTTTGTAACATGGGTGCATTCATTTCAACCATTAATGCATCACACTGTGCTACTGTGAAATGGCATCTCTACTCTCACATGCTGGAAATTCTGGGTCTTGCCTTCTTTGGTTCTTCTGCTTTTTCCCCTGCCATCGTTCAAAGTTTGTCTGGGTGACAAGCAATTTCTTTTTTTATGGTACAATGAAACAACAGAAGCCATATCATCTAGGATGGATTACTGGGAGGGCTAATGGGGCATTGCCTCTGACTGCCCCTCGGGGCCTTAGTCCACAAGGCTCAAGTACTTAGGACAATCCACAGCAAATGTAAAAATTAGATGAACGAATAGCTCTTGAACACATACAAATGACTAAATTAATAAAACAAATGAAAAAATGTTATCTGTTGTTAGGCCCCACAAGTCTTATGCTATTAATGACTCATGGCACTTTTTTTTATTCAAATGGGATGCGATACTGATGTTTGTGTTTACTCTTCCATGACTCAGTTTGCATTCCAGGAAAAAAAATTTTCAAATGTTACACAAAAAGCTGAAACTGTTATGATGTACACACAATATCACATATAAGTAAGGCAAAAAGTAAGTAAAAAACAAAAATTTCCAGCACTGCTTAAAGTGTTATTTTATTAAACATATTACTGTTTCAGAGTAAGGGGCCTCCAAAGACTTTTGTGCTCAGGGGCCTCATAAGACCATGATCCATTTCTGCATATCGCCCTCAATGCTTCTAATGTAATGCAGTCTGTTAGGATGACTGTGTGCATCATATGAGCTTTGCAGAGCGTTATAGAGTGATATTTTTAAGTAAACAAAGCGCTGAATACCATTTTAATTTGTTGACTAATCGTTGGGTTGACTAACCATCCATGCATTTGTCAGTCAACCTGTCTGCCGATTTTTGTCCAGCTCTTCATTCAAACACACATCAGGCGACCTGAAAAATATGACTTTAATCCATAATTGGAGACACACTCCAGTTATCTGGCTCTACATCGTCCACCGTCCACCCTCTCTATGGGTGCAGCTCTCCCTTTCTTACCCTCTTCCTTCTCTCCCTCCTCAGCTCTCTTTCTTTCTCTCTCTCTCTCTCTCTCACTCGCTCTTTCTCTCCTCTGAGCCGTGTGTTGTTTTGACAGCTCGGTGCAGTGGTGTGGAGAGAAGTGGGCAACTGTGAGTTTGGAATCCCATTAGTACCCAGCAGCCATGTGCCAGGCACAACAGTTACGGCGAGCGAGCTGGGGAATTCTGATTACCTGTGAGACAGAGCGATCTGAGATACAGAGGCCTCTGTTACAGTGAGATAGGGGAAGGAAGAAAGGCAGAGGGAAAAAGGTCAGCGCAGAGGTACGCAGAGGACAATGAAAGTGTGGAGAAGGGGGAAAAAGATTGAGAACGGTGAGGAGGATGCGCTGTTGCCAGATGAGCCGCTGTATGATTTGACAGTATGGCTCTCCATAAAACTAAATCATGAATTGCTTATGCTCATAAATCTTTATCATTTCAATGAGCTCTCTTGCACATTGTTGCGCGCATGCATACACATTTATCTTCTCATTCGCAGATATTCCCTTTCTCTGGTTATTCTTTCCCTTAATTTATTTTCCCTCATAGATTATGTTTACTTTACAGGATTAAAGGGAAGCACATGTAATTTTGTTTTTCCTTAATGGGAAACAGATCTTATGTTTTCATAGGTGTATAAACACAAAAATCTCATCTTTTCAAATCAAATATTCTATCTAAATAATAATAAAATAATATAATACATAACATATGTATACATAAATCTATAAAAATCAATCCATGTAGGGATGGTAAAACAGCTGATTTGCTCAATATTTGTGGAAATGAGTCAGTTGCCTTGCTTGTGATGAAGGTTTGTGCTACTACGTAATTTATTTTAACATTACTGCAATGTTAAATTGCAAATATGACGTTTGTTTTTGATCATGACGCGTGTGGGTCATGCGTGTGACGTTATTTATTTACATGCGGGTCCTTTCAGGGCAGAGGAGAAAAATAATGACAGATATGGGTCATTTACTCACACAAATGTGAATCTTGAAGGCAAAAGATCAGATCTAAGAAAAATGCTGGAATTAAGCAAAAGACTTGCAATGTGAACATCTCTCTCTCTCTCTCTCTCTCTTTCTGTCTTTCACAGGATGTCAGCCTCTTCCTCTTAAATACCTGGAGTGGAGCAGTGTGGAGTCCATCGTTGCTGTTGTCTTTTCCTGTCTCGGCATCCTAGTGACACTGTTTGTCACCTTTGTCTTCATCCAGTACCGGGACACTCCTGTGGTCAAGTCATCAAGCCGTGAACTCTGCTACATCATCTTGGCGGGCATCTTCCTGGGCTACATCTGCCCTTTCACCCTCATCGCCCGACCCACAGTGATCTCCTGCTACCTGCAGCGCCTCCTGGTGGGCCTCTCATCAGCCATGTGTTACTCGGCCCTGGTCACCAAAACTAATCGCATCGCCCGCATCCTTGCCGGCAGCAAAAAGAAAATCTGCACGCGCAAGCCACGTTTCATGAGTGCCTGGGCGCAGGTGGTCATTGCCTTCATCCTCATCAGTCTGCAGCTGACCCTGGAGATCACGCTGATTGTGCTGGAACCTCCCGAGCCCATCAAGAGTTACCCCAGCATCCGTGAGGTCTACCTCATTTGTAACACCAGTAACCTAGGCATGGTGGCACCACTGGGCTACAACGGTTTGCTCATCATGAGCTGCACCTACTACGCCTTCAAGACGCGCAATGTGCCAGCCAACTTCAACGAGGCCAAGTACATCGCCTTCACCATGTACACCACTTGCATCATCTGGCTGGCCTTCGTGCCCATCTACTTCGGCTCCAACTACAAGATCATCACCACCTCCTTCTCTGTCAGCCTGAGTGTAACCGTGGCCCTAGGCTGCATGTTCACGCCCAAGATGTACATCATCATAGCCAAGCCAGAGCGCAATGTGCGCAGCGCCTTCACGACATCGGACGTGGTGCGCATGCACGTGGGTGATGGCAAGGCGGCTGCTGCGGCCTGCCAGAGCAACAGCTTCCTCAATATGTTCCGCAGGAAGAAGAACAACAACGCCACCAGCAGCACCAAGTGAGTTATGCAGCCTATCACAAGACTGAGTTACTGTGCATTGAAACAAAAACAAACACATTACTTACTTTCTAAATTTAAATGCACAAACAGCTATGAAGCATAATGGGCCAGTGTTCTTGTCACAGATTAAGCCTAGTCCTAGTCTATTGTAGAGGTGGGCGATATGTCAAAAATATAATATCACAATACTTCAGGACATCTTCAGAATACCCAATATGCTTCACAATTCTCTGAGGTTCAGTAAGTTAAGAACACACAAAAAGGCAACCAGGGGTGCCAGGTTTAAAAAAATATTGACTGAAATGACTATAAAATGATTTTTATTCAATGTTTTACATACTGCATTGCACTAAATCCAATTAACCATTTCTACATATGCTCTCTTTATAATGAACCTGCTGTTGGTCAGTGTCATTTATGCACTGAAGATATACATAGTATATTCTGAAATGCACAGAAAAAAACTTATTGTGACAAAATGTGACATAGTTTATCACAATAACAATAAATATCATCATATTGCCCACCCCTAGTCTGGTGGTCACCAATTCTGCTCTGGACATCTACCGCCCTATATAGCTTAGTCTTCCTTTTCAAACCCTCTCCTGGAGAACTACCTTCTTGCAGGTTCCCAATCCTGGTACTGCAGTACCCCAATCTAGCACATTTTACTGTTTTTGGGCTGTAATATACCCATTTCAGCTCTGGGGTCATTCACGAGCTGATTAATTGAATCAGGTGTGTTGGGGGCAGAGAAAACACAAAATATGCAGGGCAGGGAGAACTCCAAGACCAGGGTCGGGAACCGCTGCCCTAACCTAATCCACCATATCTGATCCAGCTAATTACTGTCTTAGAGCATGCTTGAATAGCTAGATCAAGGGTTTAATATTTGGTTGGTGGTGAAACCTGCAAGAGGGTAGTTCTCCAGGAGAAGATTTGATGACCACTGTCTTAGTCTAAATGTGTGTTTCTATGGAGATTCCGCTGGTCCAAGGCTAGGCTAGGCTAAGCTTAATACATGAAAACTGCCCCACTGAAAATAACTAAGATTTTTCTAAGTAGCATATCAACACGTTGGATCACGTAGGTAGCTTTGCTAGTATTCTCTCTAGCATGTGTGTGTATTTCAGTCTTCTCTCTGATGTTAGCTCTGCCATGTCTTTCTCCCTGCTGCAAACTGGAGTATGTATGTAGCGTTTTGTTAGCGCCAGGCACCGCATAGCTGTCCTCTGTCTGTCCTGAGCTCTCCTCCGAAACCTAATTTTCATCAAACCACCCGCTCGCACAGTCCCCCTCCCCGATATTAACCCACTTCTCAAACCCCCACCCCCACCCCGTCCTCCGTCTTCTTCACTGAGAAAAAAAATTAACCCAGTTATTAGGAACGTTACTCCTTCAGTCTGTGCCCTGCTTACTCTAACAGAAGTGCAGCTTTCAGCTCTGAGGCTTCTCTGTCCCTTGCCTGTTCTGCTTAACTCTATTACACCGCTGACTGCTGCTTGTTGTGTGCACAGCACTAAACCTGGACAGGGAGCGCCACAGGGATCTGAAACTGTTGAGGGGAATTCCATGAAGGCCTGTGTTCATTTCTGCATGATGCACAGCGCAAACAGAGTGGTGCAGGGAAGAGATGGCAGACAATCAGCCATCTGACATTCATAATGCTATCTGAACCAGTCATTATGAAGCTAGTGATGAGCATGTTCTAACCCAGTTCTTTTGAATGCAGTTTTTAAATAATAATGATCTGCAGATGACTAACCCTTAGAGATGATTTCAGAGATGATTTAAGGAATGATGTTTTGAGATGTCATGACAATGTACTGATGATGTTGTCATGTTGTTCTGTGTGTCTGTGTTGCTCTTTGGCCGCATCCCCATGGGAATAACGTTGGGTCTCTGTCTCGTTCATAGTCCTAATGGAAAGTCTGTGTCATGGTCTGAATCAGGTGCCCGGCCCCAGGGGAGGGGGTCGAGTGTGTTCCACAGACTGTCTGTGCATGTGAGGAGGCAAGCAGTCGGCCAGAGTCAGACGGCGGTCATACGACCCCTAACTAATGCCTCGCAAGCCCCCCACCCCGAGTACCACCCTGGCCTCGACACAGACCGGAATGGCTCGCAACCTGACGACAAGGCTCTCTACAACCTCAACGAGGAGGATGACGAAGGGGGCCGCTGCCCACGGAACCTAAATGGAACATCCCAGGACGGAAGGGAGCCTGCCTCTTATTCACCCGCTCACCTGATGGACCACACCACTGACCATCTAGAAGGGGGACGGGTAGATACGCTAAGCTCTAATGTTACCGCTTTCGACGAAATATTAACTGCCGCTGGCAGAGTGAGTCCCGCCTATAACCCGTTAGCCAGTCAGCTACCTCTGCCCTTGCAGGGTGAGATGTTGTCTGAGGAGGGTTCAGAAATGGAGGCTCTCGACCTCATTCATGGCTTTCTGTATGACAGCGCTGTACAAGAGGAGGAGGAGGAAGATGAGCGTGGAGAGGAAGAGTTAGCACAGAGCAAGCTCACTCTCCTGACTCCACCCTCGCCCTTCAGGGACTCGCTGCGATCAGGTGGGTCCATCCCAGGATCCCCCGCCTCTGACAACAATCCAAATGCTCCCCAAGAAGTGACCTACGCTCCCAAACAGAGCTCTTTTACACTGTGAGAGCAGGTGCTCAGGACACAGGAACCAGGCGGCTCCCTCTTCTCTGCTTTGTCTTCTTACTTACTGATTGATCTGTTAATCACCACAGGATAGCAAGCGCGTGCTTATTTGATTTTCTCAACAAGATACTTGTCACGAATATGACATTTTGAAGAGGCAAGAAAGACTACAAAGGCAAACAAATGGAATATCCGGTTGGGATTATTTTTCTCAAAGGTAGTTCTAGCAGCCTCTGTTTTTTTTCATTATGTCGGAAACTTGGAGCGCCAATAACACAATATTGTTGCTGTGCCAAAACCCACTGGCTAACATTGCATAACTAAGAGATTACAGACTAAGAGTCCACATACCACTTTGCTGCTTCAGTATATCACTGTCTGTATGAATATGGACAAAGGGAGAAACTCTTGGGACTATGCTATGTGCTTATGGACTATGTAGCTTGGCGTCATTGTGATTAACTTTGCTGGAAAATGATATCATTCATGAAGCTCAAAGATTTTTGCATACTCAGTGCAAACATATGCATAGACACATACAGTGCACAAAATTGTGTAGACATGTGAAGCAGATAAAGGTGCACACAAACACACACACATATACATCAGAGCTGTGGTCAATCCCACAAGATCGAAACTAAAACCAGTTTTAGGCTCCACGTCTGATAGAATAAAAAATGACTATCTTATAAGAATGTTCAATGAGTACTGAGCATAAGTGGATATGGCCTCGTCCACAATATGAGCCAAGAAGAATGTTTCATGTTCTTGGTTGATCTCAAGATTGAGATATAGACTCCAGCTCTGATACACACACACACACACAACATTGTGCATCCGGTTATGAATGAGTGATTTTCTGTAGGATGTGCCAACTACGACCTACTCTTTTCCTTTTCTGACCACAGGTCAACCTGTGCACCTGCATTTCCAACAGTGATCTGAGTTAAATGTTAACGTTAGCACTTGCTTGGGGAGCTACATAGAGGATGAGTTTGATTGTATTGTTAAGCAAGTAGTTCAAATAATATTTTAGTCTAAATGAGGAGTTTTTTCTGTATTGCCAAGGTCATTACAAACAAAAGAGGACGCTGTTTTTGCTGTTCTTCACAAGTCTATTTTTTGTCTCATGAGAAAGTTCATCCTTGAACACAGAGAAGATGTTTTTTCAAATGTTTGTATACTGTTCAGCCATCAGTTGTTTTTTTCCACACAGATGGTGTCTTTGTATTATTGCTAAATGTTTCTATGACTAGAATGTGAGATTTCTAAGTTTTAACTCCCTCTTTGTGCAAAAGGGATGTATATTACATGGAATCTGGGATACCTTCATATAATTTTACAAATCATCCGTATTTCTTTTTGGAATTTTTAAGCTTTATCTATGGGTAGTTGCTTCTAGTGGTAACTTGTAGCATTTACCAGTAAATCTTGTGTTGAATTATGAATTTGCAACTGTAACTGCTTAATTTACTAGTAAATTTCATATAGTACTATTAGAATGCAACTCTCAAAAAACATAAATAGCCAATATTAAGTATTGTAATAAGTATTGTAAATTGTAATATTAAGTCTTTTTTGTGTTAGTTGTTTGGAGTTGATTCATTTGTTCAATGTAAAAAGTAATTGACATAGCTATCACCTGTTTACATGGTCAAACCTAGAAATGTCTTTCTTTATTTCTTTTTCTTTATTTCTTTTTTTGCCAGGACAAATCATGCTGTAAAATAAATATTTTGTATCTAACTCACTGTGTCTTAGCTGGCTGTCTGAACTGGACTACTTCCACTCCACCTTTCACAGTGTTAGGTCAGTTAGTTGACTGTCTACGTTTTGTTTACTTCTCTTCCGCTCTTTTCTAGCGCTGTAACTGATTTAGCTGTTTTTCTGAAAACGCCATAACCGAATTAGGACAGGAACGACGACGGTAAACTGACTCCATCCTGGATAACCCCATCTTTTCTCAGCTAGCACAGTCACTTTTGCCCATTCGCACGCGGACGTTCAGGGAAACACAACAGGAAAGTTTAGCCTAGCCCGTGTGAGAGATTTGGAGATTTCCGGGTCCTGTGACTTATCAGGTGGTTGTCCGTCAGGAGGAGAGAGAGGGGCAGACTCTCCGCTTTCCCTTATACCACCTCTTTTTTCCCCAGAGTCCGACTAACCCGTTGACGCTTTAGCAGACCAACTTGAGGGGAAAGAAAAGTGGAAGTGGTTGTGGAAAGTTGTCGAGTCAGTCGTCTCCCCCTCCCTTAACAACTAACTAACTGTCACTCACTCGCAGCAGCAGCAGCAGCAACAGCATGGCTGGCGGTTCGGTGTCCGAGTGTAAGGAGTATCTGTTCAAAGTTTTGGTGATTGGGGAGCTGGGTGTGGGAAAGACAAGCATCATCAAACGATACGTCCACCAGCTCTTTTCCCAGCACTACAGAGCCACCATCGGCGTCGATTTCGCCCTCAAAGTCATCAACTGGGACAGCAAAACATTAGTTCGACTGCAGTTATGGGATATAGCAGGTAAGACCTGACTTCATTAGGCTGATGGACACGGAACGAACTTTCTGGAAGTTGAGGAAGTTGTTTTATTGGGCGCTGAAATTAAGCTGTCAGTCACTTCAGCGAAACCGACAAGTAGTTCACCCTAAAGGGCTGAGTCCCAAACCGTAGTCCGCTAACTACCATACTAGGTTAAGTATGTCAAATATAGTATCCCACCGTTAGCGGTGGATTCATTAGTATCGTATGCATAGTGCAGCAGTATGGGGTTTGGGACGCGGGCCTTGTTATACAGGGGAAATTCCACCGATTTTTCAAAATTTCTGTATACGTCAATCGTTGAGATGTAAACAAAGTCATTCGATGTTAAATGGTTTGTTGTAGAGAAACGTACAGACTCTGATTTCTTTATTGAGGTGATGATAGGAACCGGGGGTGAAGATGTCTCAGACATCAGGCAGCAAATTCATAACCAGTTTTATATCAAACTTTTGTGCAGCTTTTAGAGACACTGAACTATTCAGACATCTGGTTCCTATCACCAACACTGAAATTGTGACTCGGTACGTTTCTCTAGAACGGTACATCTGCGAGGCAATCCACTTTTAATGACTGCTTAAAAGCTGAGTTATGCCAAAAATTAAAAAAAAAAAAGTTGGTGGACTCCTCCTTTAACCAGCCCTCAAATTGAAGCACATGACTCTGAGTGATCCACATGCTGATCCCAGATCTGTAAACAGTGCTATAAACGAAGTAAGCAGTTTGTATATAGTCATTTTATACATTTTAGCCTTTCAGCAGAGACTCCCAAAACTTTTCAGAGAAGAAGAACTAAAACAAAAGCGTGTCTGAGCTCGCTGTGTTGTGGCCATGTTAGCGAACATAATTGCAAACGCAATGTAGGTCATGTTGTGGGACTCTCCGCCCGGAGAAAGAGAAAGAGAGTGGAAAAAGAGAAAGAGTGGCACATCGCCACATTAGAGCAGAACTTCAACTGTACAAAATGTGAAAAGTAATATCAAAGAGGTGCTCGTGTAGTTTCGTTTCAAAGCCAGACCCTTAGTTCGGAACATTTTTGGCTTTTTTTATTAGATGATCAAGATATTTAACTGTCAGAGAGTGAGAGCAGGCTCAAAAGGGAAGTGAAAAAGTTTACACCGAAACTCTGAGCGATGACTTAACTGTGTGGCAACGGAAACAAGGCAAGAGTGCAGCACTGATTCTGATGTTACTGTTTTTTAACCGTGTGTCTGAGAGAGAGAGAGGGAGAGAGAGAGAGGGAGAGGAAATTTCATAACTGTTCTATCTAACTAGCTGTGCTTATGAAACCTTGTTATGAGAGCTGTCTGTGTCATTCAGTAGCTGCAAGAGGCAAATGCACAACATTCAGACATGGACTGTACTGTATGCAGACCAACCTTTGTAATCATATTAAATGCAGAGGCACTTTCTACTGCCACAGTCATAAATGTGGCTCAGCATTTTTTTTTCCTGCTTGATTTGATTTGAACATGATTCATTCATTGGTAGCAGTTTCATGTGATCCAGTACACCATTAGGACTTCATTACAGCCTTTATGGTGTCTTCATGGTACACTTTTGTGGAATCTTGTAAGCATTGTCTACTGTATTCAGTCTAAATGGCCTACCACAAAAGACCCTGTCTTTCCATTTTTGACATAAATCTTTGTGCTTCGTTCTATTTTTGTATATTACCACAACCCTATCAAACATATCTATTCGGGGACTTTGGTTTTGTCTTCTTTTTAACCCATTAAAATAGAGCTGCTGTCAAGCCATGAGCATGTCCACGTTGGCTATAGTAAAATGGATCAGCATGTGCAAAGGAAACTCCTGTGTGATAAAATTTTCTGTCACTGTATAAAAGAAGTTGTGGAATGCACTTTGATAGTTTCTGGGTGAGTGTTTCCACACATTTAGAATGGAATTCAGAACAATTGGAGTTAATACCACAAAGGAATTTCTGGCTCACATACGTGCCGCTGAATGTCCCGTGCATTTGCACCAGTAGATGGAACTCAACTTTTATATGAAGGCAGTGGTAATGGATGATATACCAGTTGGAATTCTTCCTAAGATATTAGTTTCGCTGATATGTCACAAATACACCAGATAACGCAACATACAAACTGCGGAAACACATTAACAGGAGCTCCTTACTTGAATGTCTGAGACGCTTCTTTCAGTAATCACTCGTCTCACTCTGTGTAGCCAGTTACATCTCACTCTGTGTAGCCAGTTAATTTTAGTCCTGGTTGTTGTTGAGGATGCAAACATTAGAGATATGCAAGGATCTGCCAGTCTCCGGGGGTAATGACAGTCTTTAGCCATGATTTAGCCTTTACCATATCAGCCCACTTGCAGGGTCTGTGTGTCCACCAGCCCTGTCTGCGAAGCACTACAGTTGGTCAGCTGCATCATGCAGCAGCGCGGTCTCGCACCCTGTTGCTGCAACCAAGCCGAGAAATACGCAACCGCTGCTAATGACAGCGTGAAAGACTGTAATATTTACTCCTGCAGAGTATGATTTTTGGAGATATAAGCACGAGTGAACAAGACGCATGTAGATGTCAAAAGACTTGAGAAATTCGGATGTGAAACAATGTTCAGCACCATTTTTGCTGAGCCAGAGAAACTGCTGCGTGCTTGGATGTACAGACCACAGATTAATCTGTGGTTATTCTTATTGTTTATTATAAAATAGCAAATACTGAGTGGAATAATATAATATCAGGACTTATAAGCTAGTGTTTTGCTGTTAGGTAATTTACCACAGGAAGATCATGATAAAAAAGGTAGAAATGTGTGTCTGTTTATTTCTGTGATGTGATATATAAAAAAGGAAATACAATTAAAGAATGGATAAAATTAGGAAAAAAGTAATCTCAACAGGTTTACACCTTCACACAAACACTCATAACCTCAGGCTTAACCTAGACATAAGCAGATAAAGAAGCTTAAAGAAAATCAGCAGGCTATAATTCTAATAGTTGAGAGAGAGAGAGCGAAAGTAGTGGGGGTTAGAGCACCCGCAGGTGTCTTCCCCATCTAACACAGACTTGGTCAAAACAGTTATACCCTTATGCAAATTGGATGTAAATTGTACATTCTACACATACAGTTGCTTATTTGTCATTACACGTCAAACACTATTATAATGCAGACATGGATGGGCTCAAAAACAAAAGCAAGATGAGCAAGAGTTGCTCTCAGTCAGGCCTAAGGCCTTAAAGGTTCCCAAATGGTCACCTTCCAATTGGTTCTACAATGATGGAAACACCCAGTTCTATCACTTGTACCATAGGCTACCGCCATGTCTGGTAGAATAGTTTGGTGATGGGCGTAAGTCCTTATCTCATGTTACAGTGTCCTTCTCAAGGAACATACCACAAGCCTAACAGAGACTTAAAACCCAAAGACCCATTATTCCTAGGTGTAATACATATATTCTTAAGAATAATATTCTGTATTAAAATTCAAGTTTGATTATGGAAGAAAATCCATGTCCCTTCACTAGTTAGGTTAAAAATAGATAGCATCAATATTGGCACTCTGTATCGGTGGATACTCAAGGGTCAGGTATTGGAGGGGGAAAAAGTGGTGTCGGTGTAGCCCTATATATTTGCTTATATATTTTGCAAAAATCTGATTTGTTAGGTTTATGTTCTGATGCACATCAATTGTGAGATCACTTTGTTAAAGGAGAGTAGATTAAAAGACAGAAACCGCTCTATTTCGTGAGGGCATTAAAGAGTTAATGCACTGTAGGCGTTTTAGAATTGTGGAATCTGAAAAGTCCACTCTAAGCCTGCTGACAATCCACAATGGGCCAAAACACAGTTTGCTTTTTCACAAAAAGTGCTGGTTTTGAGATACTGTAACAGGTTTACCCGTGACAGCAATATTGTATGATTTACTTTGCCCCATGTACACAGGGTCAGTGCCTGAATGTAATGCCAGTTCCTGCACTTTGTGTCAAAAAGTCACCCTGCTGCTTTGTGCTTGAGGCACAGTAGCATCGGGGAGGCACGTGTAATGCAGTCTGCCAACAGGACTCGGAGGAAGAATAGCCACGTTTAGCATTCAGTTTCATTTTAGTGTCACATGTGTGCCAATATCCTCTGAAATTGCTCTACGGTGGTCAGAGACTGTGCTGGTTTATGAGCCTTTGTGCCGCACCACTTAGGATAATATGCATCATGAGGTCATCATAAATCGTAAGACTTTATGAAGAGAATTGCAGTTTAACCTCTGAAGCTGACAGGCTGTACTGTGAATATCATATCAGGAAGCTTGCCAGTAACATTTGTGATTTAATTCAGGGAGATGATAAAATACTCCATTACTGTGTGGGGCTGGATGGGTTCCATATGTTTTGGTTTTAATTTAAGACTGTATCAAGGGAATCGGGTTTTCATTTCATTACTTTCATTTCCTTTTGTGAAATAGCTCTAGGGGACTTCACAGTCGCAGATTTTTCATAATCCATTCAGTTTCTTTTTGATACAGTTTTGGGAAAGTAATCTTGGTTCCTGCCACACTTTTTTAATTTACTTGTATCTGCACATTTTAGTAAATGTTATCATTTATTGTTTGTTTTTTACAAATTTTGTGGTATCCTGGGGAAAAGAGTCTATTGCAAAGGGGAATCTCACCCCATAAACCTTTTTTCTGACCTATCTGTCACTGTATAAAAGGGTTTTTTTAAATGCTACATTTACACTTTTTGAGATAGAGTGGTCACTTTAGTTGTGACTCACCAAAACCGTCAAAATGCATCATCTGCTCAGTCTGAAAAATGGATGCTAATAACCATTTTACTTCAAAACTACGAAGTAAGTTTTATTTGTTTTGGAAAGCAGATTATGGTTTTTCCTTGACGAGCAGATAAAATTGATTTTCATATATAGATTTTTATAAAGTTGACCTGTAAAGTTTTGACTGTATTGGATGTCTGTGCCTTCTTATGCTTTATCAGTTAGATTTTTTGCTTTGGCAGG